AGATTTAGTGGCAGCAGCAGCTGCACCAGCAGCACCACCAGCACAGCTTAACCAATGTTCCCCATTGTTGTACAATATACGACCTGTACCACCAGTTGTGCCGACAAAGCCTTACTAGGCGTCCAAAGACGGGCTGTAGCGGCGTTTCCGAGTCTTCTGACAGCCGCTGACAAACTGCAGCGACAGCATACAGCGAACGCACAAGCACAGGGCCCCTAGGGGCCCCCTAGGGGCCCCCTAAGGGCCCCAGGAAAGTCCCAAAGAGACATTTAAAGAGAAAATGTATAAATTCATATTTGCATAAATGCAAATAATAATAAATGCATATAATAATAAATGCAAAAAATAATAAATGCAAATAGTAATAAATGCAAAAAGTAATAAATGCAAATAAAAGTAAATGCAAAAAATAATAAATGCAAAATATATAAATCGAGGATGGGAACATTTGTGTCTTTATTTGAAGAGAGAAAATTGTGTCCTTTTTCATTTATTTATTCTTTATTTGCTGCTTATTTAGTTATTATTTTATTTTATTTTATTTTATTTTTTATTATTTAATAATCAGTCAAGAGCAGCAGCAAATAGCCACCCGCTGTATAGGCCGCAGGGGTAAGAAAAGAGGCGCAGCACCAGACACACGCAGCAAGTCACGCTCTGCTGCTGCTGCTGCTGCTGCTGCTGCTGCTGGTCAAAGATCTTTGCATGCAGCAGCTGCTGCAGCAGCTTATTGGCGTCTAGCTCTTTAAAGTGCAGCACGAGGCCCCGCAGGGGCCTCCCTGGGAAACAGCTAGCCACAGCTAGCCGCAGAGCTTCCTGCAACATGTGTTCTGTTGTTGCTGCTGTTGCTGCTGCTGCTGTTGCTGCTGCTGCTGCTGTGGAGGCCTCACACTGGCCTGGCAGCAAACGGGACCAGCTGTTTGTACACCTGGCTTCCTCGTAGCTGCTTAATACTTCATAAACTGCTTCATGGGGCTCAGCAGCAAACAGCAGCTGCTGCTGTACCCATCTGTTGCTGCTGCTGCTGCTGCTGCTTCTGCTAGAGGCGCTGAAGACAGGAGCTTCGCTGTAGTGCTGCTGCAGCAGCTGCTGCAGCGAGGCCTGGAGCTGCTGCTCTACTTCTGCTGCTGCTGCTGCTGTGTCTGCTGCAGTGAAATGCAACTCGGACAGCCGCGGGCTGACGCTGCCTGCAAAGACACAAAAGCAGCAGCTAACACTAGAGAGCAACTAGGCAGCAGCAGCGGCATGCAATAGCCACAGAATAAAAGAATAAACGAGGAAACAAAAAAATAAATAATCAAATAAATAAACAAAATTAAAAAATTAAAAATTAAAAAATTAAATTAAAAAACAATTAAGTGCTGCATACCTATGGGGGGCAGAAGCGCCACACGAGTGGCGTCAGCACCCCACACCTGAAGGGCCTGTGCTGCTGCTGCTGCTGCTGCTGCTTCGGCTGCTTCTGCTGTTGCTGCTTCGTCTGCGCCTGGAGCTGCTGCTGCTGTTGCTGCTGCTCTAGTGGTCTCATAAGCTGCTACTGCCTCTCGCTGCTGACTCTCATCGAACTCCATCTGAGAGCAGCAGCAGCAGCGGCAGCAGCAACAGCAGCAGCAGCAGCAACAGCTTCAGCAGCAGCACTAGCAGCATTTCCATGACGTAAGCTGCACCTTCTGAATCACTTGCACAGCAAGCAGGCCAAGCAACAACAGCAGCAGCAGCCGCAACAGCAGCAGCAGCAGCAGCAGCAGCAGCAGCAGCAGCAACCCACGGGTTCAGGAAGTAGGGGCATCCAGTTTCTTTTATTTTGGAGTTCGAAGTTGCAGCTCATAAGAGTTTTGGCTTCCCGCCGGGGCCGCAGACGCCTTTAAATAAATAAATAAATAAATAAATAAATAAATAAATAAATAATTAATTAATTAATTAATTAAATTATCGGTAAGTGTTAATCTTATTTTGGATATTTGCTTCTGTCTGGTGGAGAGTCCGGGTGCAGCAGCAGCAGCAGCAACAGCAGCAGCAAAGGAGGCAGCAGCAGGTGGAGCAGCAGCAGCAGCGGCGGAAATAGCAGCACGAGTGGCAGCAGTAGGCGCTGCAGCAGCAGAGTAGGTGCAGCAGTGACAGCAGCATGAGTAGCAGCAGTAGCTGCGGCAGCAGCAGCAGCAAGAACGACAGCAGTAGATGGGGCAGCAGCACCACCAAAAGCAGCAGCAGCGGGTGCAGCAGCAGCAACAGAAGTGGCAGCAGTTGGTACCTGTCGCAGCAAAGGAGTCCGATGCACTTAATGAAGCAGCTAAGCCACCATGTTGCTGATGCTGCTTTTCTTGCTGCTGCTGCAGCAGCAGCAGCAGCAACAGGGATTCCAGCCCATCTCCATTTGTGTCTTCGCAGCAGCTGCTGCCTCACGGACAGCCTTATTTGCCTTTCTGCTGTTGTTGCTGTTGCTGCTGCAGCTGCTGCTGCTGCAGTCTGGGGGACGAAGTCCGTGGGCGACTCTGGCTCCTGGAGCAGCAGCCAGCGGGGCCGCTGCTGCAGCTGCTGCTGCAGCTGCTGCTGCAGCAGCTGCTGCAGCTGCTGCTGCTGCTGGGGGAAGTCCGCGCTGCTGCTGCGGCTGTTCAAACAACGCATTGGCTGCAAATTTATATATGCATTTTGGGGCCCAATCAGCAGCAGCAGCTGTGAGATGGGCCAGAGGCCCTCTCTGCTGCTGCTGTGGGGCCCCCCGAGAATAAATGGGGAGGGGGGTGGCCCGTTTGCTGCTGCTGCTGCT